TCTCTCTCTCTCTCTCTCTCTCTCTCTCTCTCTCTCTCTCAATATCGTGGATCTTCACCTGACACTCTCGTCCCCTCACTGAAGCAGGTGAGACTGGAATGGTATGCATGAAGTTCGGACAGTCTTGTGTTGGGTTTGTCCACCGCAAACTGGTAAGTCACTGTGAAGAGAGAAGGGGATGAGTACCCACATAGTCGGTCCTGCAGCCTCATGTGCTCTACCTGGACCAGGCCGGTGCACCTCTGCTCTACCCCCCCTACTATAACATCAGCTTTATTTTCTGGAACAGAAATTCCATCTTCTGCATCAATTAATCACAAGTCCCTGTATCAGGGAACAGCCACAAGTCCTGTGTAGTTAACTGAGTTTATCAATGTCTGGTCCCCTTTGTTTGAACAACTTTGAGGCAAGACCACAGGGTATGTTAATGTATCCTAACCATTCCTCAGCAGGTAGACATACTTTAAACACCTAGAGACTGTAAAGTGAGGTGAATATGATCAAGATACATTATATAAGTATATAAGTACAAAATTTCCAATAAACAAAATTTAATTTTTAAAAGTTATCACTTTGTTCATGAGTGTGTCCACTAAACAATGTTAACAAAACAGACTTTCTTCAATATTTTAAGCAAATGTTTCTATCTTTCTAGTTTGTGCTTTGGGTCCTGAACCTCTGTTTCTTCTTGACCAATAAAATAACTATCGTTAACCACCACAGCCCGCCTCTTGGACTTGACGGTGCCGATTAGAGCAGATCCTGCTTTGGTGAGAATGGAATGCTTGTCTCCTCGTCCGAGAGCAGACTGCAGACATGGAGCACTCCCACTCCCTCCCGGACCGTGCAGTAGCTGCTGGGGTCATCTTCACAGCAAACAGAGAAGCAGATTGCAGACTGCAAAGAACGTCATCAAAACTTCTCACACAATAGACTAGACTAGACTAGGCTTTGGGTGCAAATGAAACAGGAAAGAAATATTTTATTTCTTCAATCTTCACCATCTAATTTAGCTGCTTTCCCCACTCACATTGAGAAAAAAAATCCCATATGAATCAAAGACTAAACTGCTGACATTATGAAATCCATTGGAGTTGCACTCTCAATACAGAGATGTTGTGACCAGAGAATGTGATTGCTGGGGAGCCCAATGCTGGAAGGCACTGTCATGGATGATGGGTGTAAATAACATGTGCTAACAAAGCCAGGTGAAGGGACCTTAGGAGTCTCAGTGGTCAAAAGATGGAAAGAAAAAAATAAGGAAGAGAAATCAAGGAAAACATGGTGTTGCATGTCAAGTTTGACCAGTTAATGGGAGAAAATCCAGCCCCTGGGAGTCTCTGCAGAACAGAAACAAGAAAGTGCCCCAAAGAGACACCACCCCAGTGAAGAACTTACCCACACAGCTTGCAATGAAACAGGTGCTGAGGAGGAGGATGGAAATCACAGCAACTGTCCAGAGTCTCAGAGACCAGCAGGGTTCCTTCTCTGTCAGACAGCAAGCAATGCACTCACCTCAAGACCAAGGTTAGAGCGATGAAAAACCCCACAAAATGCTCAGAATAATTATAAACCTAGATCAGGAAAAATCTGTCAAAGCCCCAGAATAAATGACCAAGTCAGCTCTGAGGCACGCGCACACACACACACATACACACACAGAAAATTTTCACCATCAGGCACCTGCAATTCTCATGTCCTTATACTTTCTTAAGTATCACTTTCTTCCATTGAGGTCCTGTCTTTTACATCCCCTTTCTATATTAGGTTTCTTGCTGTCTTGGTTCATTCTGTCACCTCAGCCTGCCCATTGTCTGCCTCTTTACCCCAGGTGACTACTCATCACTTCACAAACTTCCACTGTCTCCTCTGGAACTGAGACAGGAATGCTCACCTCTACTTTGGAACTGTCTCTCCATTGTTTAAGTCTATGTTCAGAAGGTCTAGGACTTCTTATGTCTGTCTCACAGAGATACGACTCAGAGAGCTGGCCAAAGCTCAGAGTCAACCTCTACACGCTCTGAGCTAAATGGCCCAGAGATGGCATACACTTGATACACAAAGAAGAAGTCACAGTCTGAACTGTTTCCAATGATTTAAAGACATGGGAAAGCGGAAATTGAGAAACATGCCTAAAATTGTTCCTGAAAACTCTGACAAGAATATGCTCATCATTTGTTCAGTTCCTAATGTGGAAATTTCTCCCACCTCAAAATAAATTTATCTATAAGCCTGATTTAAATAAGTGCTCCTTCATGGTCAGTGACCATGTCAGAGGAGCTGCAGTCAGCAATGAAGCTTGCGGAGTTCAGTTCACTGAATAACAACACTATGATGAATAAATGAACCCTGACTAGGCAAAGCCCCAGGAGGATTGTTCCCAGAATGCCCCTTGCTCCTGCCGTGCTTCCTTCCGTTTCCTGCTGTATGTGGCATGGCGTGACTATGTGAAAGGATCACCTGTATCTAGCGGAGCGTGATTGTTTCATGGGGAAATCCCACTCCTCACTGGGCAATTTACATGTAAGATCATAATGAAGATGATTTTTACAAGAGCAATGATGCTTAGTTAGATCTATGATCTAATTAAACTTTCTGAGTCAACCTAAAAGATACAGGTGGTTAAGACAGTTATTATAGATGATTGGGGAAATGATTTAGGTTATTCTGCCAATTGCTCCAATAAGAGATTAAAAAAAAAAAAGGGGCAAAAATAGGCTAGAAGTCACCTTCCCCTTGGTTACAAGTGAGATTTTCAGAGAATGGAAAATAAAGAACAAGGAAGTTTCATGTATTGCAGACCTGTGAATTCTGCCTGTGGATAAACAAAGAAAGCAATTACGTCTCTACACCCACGGTTAGGCCTGAGTTCCTTGGTCATGTAACTTACAGAATTAATCACAGGTTTAGGTGTGCACCTTCAAAAAACAAAGTTGTAAAAGGAAATTAAATGACTCCATTGTGTGTAAAGAAAAATAGATGGTTAGCTGAGCACTTGTTTAAAGTTTTTGTAGAGTAGAAACAGGATGGGAATCTGCTACACTGAAATCACAGACAGCTGCCTGCTAGCACAAAAAGAAAGGGCTGAAATGCACTTGGCTTGCTTAAAACTTTGTTAATCAGTGATAAAAGAACTATTGCTTTAGAGTGAAGACGTTATAGTAGGAAAATTAATACAAAGAAAAATGTTTAACTCTTGTGGGCTTCTAAGTAAAACACGAAACTTGTGATCATAATGTGATTTCTTCCTGTATAAAATTTTTAATTTGTTTCTGGAAAATATATAACTTGTGGTTGTGAGGTGATCCTTTCTTGCACAGAAATCTTTGTCTTAGGAGGTATAAAAGGGATAAGAGAGGATGCAGAGGAACAACAGGAAAGAAGAACAGAACAGAGAAAGAACAGAGTAGGAGCAGAAAGAGAAACATGAAATGAAGATTTAAGCTTTGCCCCTCAGATAAAGTCCGCAGGAGTGTCTGTGTGTCTGTCCAGCAGTTCGCCAACTCCACATCTCTTCTCCAGTTTGTCTGCACTCTCAGTATGTCACAAATTATGTTATGTGGGTTACTTAGTTCATATAAGGATTAATTCGGCTGGGTGGTGGTGGCACACACCTTTAATCCCAGCACTCAGGAGCCAGAGCCTGGGCTACCAAGTGAGTTCCAGGAAAGGTGCAAAGCTACACAGAGAAACCTTGTCTCGAACCACCCCCCCCCCCCCCAAAAAAAAGGATTAATTCGTATATTGAGTGGGGTTCCAGAAAGTAATAAAATGGCTAGAGTTTAGCTAGTCTGAGTTAACAGAGTAAATGAGAAGTTCATGGAGGGCTGGGAGATGGTGAAGTGGTCACCCTGTAAGTATGAGGACCTGAGACTGATACCCAGAACCCACCTAAAAATGTCAAGTGTGATGGTACATGCTTGTAATCCCAGGGCTGGGGAAGGAGAGACAGGTGGGTCCCTGGTAGCCTCTTGTCTGGCCAAGAGCCTAACTGGTGTTCTCTAGATCCATGAGAGACCCTGACTCAAAGGAGGTGAATGGTATTCCCAAGAATTATACCCGAGGTTGTCCCTAGAGGAAAAATAAATAAATAAAAGGATACTACTGCTCTTAAGGGGTCGAAGTTTTTATTATAGATATAAGGAAGATACATCTAGAGGTGTCTGGAATGGTCCAGACACAACCTAGCCGTGGGGGCAGTGAGAGAGAAAGAGAGAGGAACCAGGGGCCAAGAGGCCAGGAGGGTCAGGAGACCAGGAGACCAAAAGGACCATGTAGCCAAAATGACTGGGTTATATAGGAAAGAGAAGCTGGGGGTGGGGTGGGACATGCCAGCTAGGACTTCTCTGAAACAGGAACTGGAGCTACTGAGAGACACTGGGGACAGTGTCCACTTTGATGTGTTAATAGGCACTTCAGTTAGCTGTTTGTCACAGGTTTGAGACCTAGCAGTCCCCAACCCATGCATACATATGAACATGCACATATATACATACACTAAAAAAAAAGACACATGAGCATTATTCAGAAGTGGTGTTGTGAAATGGAAAGGGTATTGTGATGTGCATTTTGTTGTATTATGGCTCTTTTGAATATAAGTAAACTGGTATTTTAATTATGATTATTGCGACTATGCTTTGACAATTCTAACTCCATTTTAAACACTCTCTTGTCATACAAGCTGTAACTGAGGCAAATAACTCATCTATCATCTTGACAACACAGTGCCAATCACGTTGACAAGTGTAGGTCAATGTGCAAATGGGACTGCTGGGATCTGGGCTTTTAGATATAACGTTTCCTTATACTGTAATGACCAGTGATTCAGATCACCATCAGTGATACATCTCCCGACTCGACTCTATCACTCTGTCTGAACTGTGAGTGTGGGGACTCTATTGGAACAAATGAGTCCTTTTCTTCAATGTTGATGACTTGAGGGCAATCTGGACCTTTCCCATCACCATCATGGGAGGGACTGATCTCTGCAGCCATCTATAGGATCTCATTCATGAGCATATGTTTGGTTCATTACTAATGCTGTGTGCTCAAGTAATTTTTTTTATATACTTTTGCCTATAGATCCACATATTCCTTTCCCTCATTTCTGTGTGTTCTGCCTTTGTGTTCCTTGAAACAAACTGATTAACTTGTGGACTGTTTTTTTATGTGCTTCTGACTTGCCCTTTGACTGGAAAGTAAAGAGTCTGCTCCTCTGTCAGGAGCTACAGTCCTTGGGCTTGATTGTGGCCGACTACCGGGGTACCCGACTCACCTCGGTTGATCTGCTATGCCAAAACCCGACTTAAAAAGTTCTTAGTGCATCAAGAGTAACATTGGGCAAAAGTTAGTAACATTTTATGACTTCTCTCATCAGGTTAAAAGAAGTGACAGGTAGTATAAAATCCGAGGCAGGCTTCCCTAAAATCTTTTTTCATTCCTTACACACACACACACACACACACACACACACACACACACACACACACACACACACTCGGTGGAGCACAGACCTTCCCTCTTCTATGATCACCAAAACCTCCACACTCATAAGGAAGCAGTCTCCAATACAAGACTGCACAAGTACGGCATAGAACATCTACATATATGTTTCCTCTCCTCAGTTCTTGGCACAGAACTTTTAAAAGTCTTTGGATCACAGGACATTTTCAGTTGCAAATTTGGCGAGGATATTTTTAATTCCAGAAATAGTTCCGGAGCAATAAATATAAAAGGAACAGCTTTTCCTATATATAACAATTCCATTTTAGCCAGGCCTTACTGTGTGCTAATGAGATGACTCTTGCCAGTCCCGAGATTGTTTCAAAATGGGACCAACCTTGTGATCAGACAGTTGGAACCCTCACTCCCACTCCTTCAGAAAGGGAAAAGAGCTGAAGACTGAGCTCAGTCGCCAGCAACCATAAGAGACCCTGCAGAGAAGCTCACATGTGGACTGAACTCGATGGGGCTTTTCAAGTAACAGGATGCGGACAGCTGTTGCTAATGACAGGATCGATTTAGTAATTTAAAAAGCCCCCAAAGCTTTTTTCCATGGTAATTTGAGGTGAAGTAAGTCACAAGGGGAGAAGGAAGAAGTGGTTATTACCACAAAGACATTACCAACTGTTTCCAGTTCCCCTTGGGGATGAAGAAGCATAATCCCTAGTGTTGGGCTGCCAGACTGTCCAGGAAGAGAAAATATCCCCCTAGGCTGCACAGAGGTAAAGCTGCTCTCTGCTTCCTTACCCATCTCAGCATATGCTCCCCTAACTGATTTCTGTCTGGACACCGACACCCTGCACACGAGCCTCCAGCATATGCTCCCCTAACTGATTTCTGTCTGGACCACCGACACCCTGCACACGAGCCTCTGCTCCCTTCTGTCCCCAGAGGGTGTCTTTAATAGCAAATGCTGAATAACAAAACCAAGTCCAACTGAAGAATGTCCTAAAATAAAACATAACACTAAACAAAAGAAAGCAAGTTAGCAGGAAAGATGGGAAATCAGGACATGATCAGAATTGTGGGTGAGCTCAAATAAGATGTGCAGAGAAATACAACATATCCAAATCTATGCAGATAAAATGCAAAAACTCACTATGGGGAATATAATAACCACTAGGGATTAAACTAGAAGCACGGAACATACTTGGAGACATAGACAAAGGGAATGTTATTTTGTTTTAACTGGACCTCTTTTATTTTTAAAAAAGAATGCTTCCTATTCAACCTAGCTAATTCAAAATTCCTTATAATCTATGCTTGTGCAGTCCCTGGACTAATATAAAAATATAGAAACTGACAAAGGCAAGACACTAAGGAGATCAAAGTATCTGAAAATTACTTATAAATCCACAGTGTTTATGCCTTGAGTCCTCAATTCATGGTACCTGCCCCTGGGCTGACACCAGACTGGTCCTGCCAGTTCTTCTTCATATGTGGATTGGTCTAGAGAAGGCTGGCTCAGCACTACTGGCAGCAGACCTGTTGGTGTGCCTTTGGTTGGTTGTTCTTATCAGAGGGTTGAGGCATTGCAGCCAAAGT